TGCAAAAGGTAATATTATTAATTTCGTGGCGAGTGACGGAAATTTTAGGTCAATTCACAGCAGCAGAATTTACGCGAATTGACCAGGAAGTTGATCGCGACTGTTTCGGAGTTGTCGATGTATCAAGCCTCTGCGGCAGAGGGAAAAGAGGAACATGGAAAGCTGCAGGCCCTTGTTGATGATGCTGTTGAGAGAATGAGGGAGGCGGCTGAATCTAGCGTGGGGAGAGAGAGCGAAAATTCTCGTGTTAGTATGGTGAAATATGGACGATGACAACTAACATGTGTTGGTGACAATATGAATATTGTGAGAAAATTTTGTAAAATTTTTGTTAGTTTTTGTACACTACTCGTGTATTGTCCCAATTTGTATATAAACTCCTTTGAGAAGTGAGGAAAGGATTGAGCTCGTCAGCTGAGGAAAGCGAACATTTTTTTAAGCATTGTATATGATAATAACGAGTAAAGTGGAGATTTACGTGGAGTGGTGTAATACTCGGTGAAAAACGCGATATTCGCGGTGATATGCAGATTAATACTAAATATTACCAATTCGTAAATTACTCAATCAGTAATGTTATTACTAATTCTATATAAGAATTAATGCAGCTTCACCAATTTTACGTGAAGTGTCGTAATACTTCTTGAGAGAGGCGATATGAAGTAGTTGTGAAATATATTCTTTCACTAGTGTTTTTCATATCACTAGGGTGAAGTTTTTTATATAATTTACTATTTTGAACTGGTCGTTAATTTAGTGACAGCAAATTTTTACTCTTTAACATTCGTAGTGAGGATTCAGTCATAGTAGCGTTCTCCACTCTACCGATATCGTACCACTGCCAGAAAACAAAAAATTTTACGGAAAATTTTGTAGTACAAAATTTTCCGTAAAATTTTTTGCACACAATTTGCAAAATTTTTACAAAATTTGTACATAATCAACTACGTGTGTTGGTGAAAGGCAATCTCAGAGAATACGAAACTTTGAGGAAATTTTCGTCGGTTTTTGTAAATTTTCATTTGAATTTGTATGTGAGCTCCTGAGCTCAGCTGAGGGAAGCGAAAGTATATTCTATATCAGGGTGATTGATCGGCTCGGGAAAATTTTTCGAGAAAAAATTTTAATTTTTAGGAGCTCATAGTGCCTTTCCCTGGGCAATCGGAAATTTTGTTGGAAAAAAATGTTAAAGCGGAAAAATTTGCGATGGAGCAACGAAGAGGGAGGGAGAAACGCAAACAGGAAAGGGAGGAGGCGGGTGATCCGAATGCAATACGGTAATTGGGAATTTCGTGGAGGGCGGTCGGGGAATCGTGTTTGAATGATGAGTGTCAGATCGAAATTCAAAATAGTATAGTACTGAAAATCAGCAGAAAAATATTCTGGTTGATTTGTAAAATTGTAAAAATTTCCGTATGAAGCGGAAAATTTTCGAATATTCTTGATGGAAAAAAATTGCAAAAATATTTCCTCTTTTTTTTCATCATCAGGTCGACCGCAGTGCCTAGGATGCAACAGTACATACCTGACGATGGTAGTATGGGGTTGCCGAAAGCTTATGGTTGTCATGCACCGTTTCTCCCGAGTGAGGTGGGAGGTAACATGAGATATATAAGGAGGCCTAAGGAAAGGGAATTGTGTTAGAATGATAATGGAAAGGTTGTATTATTGTGAAGGGGTTGTGTTGAAGAGTTCGAGGCTAAGCAGAAGGAGGTCGAGGGTATCGTTAATCCCATCATGATGAAGGTCTATCAGGCCGCTGGCGGTGACGCTGGTGCTACCCCTGGTGCTGCTCCTGGCGCTCCTGGCGCTGGTGCCGCTCCCACCGGTAACAGTTCCGGTCCCACTGTTGAGGAAGTCGATTAAGTTCCTGAGTTCATACACTTTTACAAGAATTGTTTCAAATACCCTATGCAACCTGGCTTTGACTTGGTAGTTAGGAGTGAGAAAATGGGTTAAACACGCATGCCTATATCGTAGGAGTATCATCAGTAGTCTTCTGAATCACTAGAACGACATTTGATGAAGAATCGAATTTTGTTACGAGGGAAGGACGTAGTATCGTGGCAGAAGACCTCTCCGCAATTCGTACATTGGTGTCAGCCAAACTAAACCTCATCGTTGGCATTGGACGTAAATTCACGTAAGAGGATAATATCCTTCTAGGAAAATCCTCAGGATATCTCTCGATGGGTAATAAGGGTTGAACAAATCGTCCGGTTCGAATGGTTGACTTTCATCCGCACGACTTAGGTTCGAAACTACGAGAGCGCGACCTGAAATCTTTTGCGCAAGGGGGTTTGACTAGTGTGATATGAGATCAGACGAGTCAACATAAACGGTGTTGAGCGACACTCTTGTTGTTCATCATACACTACTAAGAACGCTTCTGCGCTCGACCTTCTCACGATATCTCTTTAACTTTTCCTTCTATAGCGATCTGGGATTGACCAGTCACTGAACTTGCTTCTCATGCGATTCTCCCTCTTTCTGGTCAGAAAGTGCATTAAGTGTGTCCTCTACCACCGCAGTTGATGCGGTGGCGATTCGGAAAGCGGAGTCAATCTTACAACACCCACTTGAACGCAATATCATTGCCCTTACAACATAGGTCGTGGATATGAATGAGACGATCAGCCATCAGGCTACTCACATCATCACAAAACTAGTCGACGAGAGT